CATCATTTCACACATAGGTCAAACTGTGGAATGTTTGTAAGTGTACAGAACAAAACTTGGTCCATCATCATTTCACACATAGGTCAAACTGTGGAATGTTTGTAAGTGTACAGAACAAAACTTGGTCCATCATCATTTCACACATAGGTCAAACTGTGGAATGTTTGTAAGTGTACAGAACAAAACTTGGTCCATCATCATTTCACACACAGGTCAAAATATAGAATGTTTGTAAGGGTACAGAACAAAACCTGGTCCCTCATTACCTCGTCATTTCACATACAGGTCAAAACTGTAAAATGTTTGTAAGGGTACAGAACAAAACCTGGTCCCTCATTACCTCATCATTTCACACACAGGTCAAACTGTGGAATGTTTGTAAGTGTACAGAACAAAACTTAGTCCCTCATCATTTCACGCATAGGTCAAACTGTGGAATGTTTGTAAGTGTACAGAACAAAACTTGGTCCCTCATCATTTCACGCATAGGTCAAACTGTGGAATGTTTGTAAGGGTACAGAACAAAACCTGGTCCCTCATTACCTCATCATTTTACACACAGGTCAAAATATACAATATTTGTAAGGGTACAGAACAAAACCTGGTCCCTCATTACCTCGTCATTTCACATACAGGTCAAAACTGTAAAATGTTTGTAAGGGTACAGAACAAAACCTGATCCCTCATCACCTCATAATTTCACACACAGATCAAAATATAGAATATTTGTAAGGGTATAGAACAAAACCTGGTCCCTCATTACCTCGTCATTTCACATACAGGTCAAAACTGTAAAATGTTTGTAAGGGTACAGAACAAAACCTGTTCCCTCATCATCTTGTCATTTCACACACAGATCAAAATATATGCTACTGTAAAAAATGGGAATGTTTTTATACTTGTTTTCTACAGAACAGATGGATGAATTAACCAGTGGTCTTCATGGTCCACGTGGCCATTCTGGCCATGGAAGGCCAGGTACACCAGGTCTGCCTGGAAAACGAGGAATTCCTGGTAAGCTCAAACATAGAGTATTACCTGTACCAATGTCTGAATAATTCACAATAATACATTAGTAGCACCAATGATGTATGTTCTTAAAAGTTCTATATAAATACAGGATTACTGTATAATTAAAAAACATTTCAAAACACCATAATTTCACTTTTAAGTGAATTTGAGAAGCTTTTTATTTTTAAGTTCTTACTGTTGTTTTATTCAATTGTGTGTGTGTGTGCGATACATATTATCAAAGGTAGAAACATTCATATATCCCTTACTTACTTCATGAACTTAAGGAGATGCAGGAAGTCCAGGTTTACCTGGAGAAAGGGGATTTCTGGGAATGCAAGGGCTACCTGGCTCTCATGGACACTCCGGTTCTAAAGGTAAAGGAAGAGATGGCTTTTTAATTTTATAGAGAGTCATAATCTTGGATATGGTTTTATTTTTGTAGCTGTTGTTGACTAAAATTTTATATACTGGTGTTAACTACATGATTCTTGTTATTCTAGTTATAAGATACTTGTAGATAAAAAAGAAGTTTTTATGAGTGTCATAATGTATACTACATTTCATTATTTATTGTAAAGGTTTATGAATGTTCATAGTATTTCCTATGATGTAAGGAAATAATCAATATATCCAATGCTACAGCACTTATAAACTAGAAAGTAAATGATCCATGTTAATAGTTCTTTACTTAGTTTTTTGTGAAAGCACCACGGGTTACTTATGCAATTTTTATTGACAAATAGTTCAAATGTAAAATATTTTTATGACACCCATTATTCTCACTTTATATATATATATATATATATATGACATTGAGCTGCTTTTGTTGGCACAAATACTTCAGAATTTAACATGTCTTTACATATAGAAAGTATGTAAAAGTGAAACCAGTGAAACGAAGTTGGTGATTTAAGGAAATGCTACTAAGAATTCAGTACATTTTTACATTAAAGTCAGTTAGTCCAGAATAAAATTGTTCTTGATCTCACTGTATTATTTATAGTGTATCTTTAGGGCTTTGTGGTAATTTAAGGTTAAACCATGCACCATAACAATTAGAGATTTGAGGATCTAATATGTAGAAGGACAGGAATAGATGGAATAAAAAGCACAGTTTGAAGTTAGAATAAAAATAAAACACTACTTTTTTGAGGAAAAAATGGAAGAGCACATTTTATTTGTGAAATAGTTTATTTCCTTGGTTTCTACATTTGACTTTACCATTACAATACAATAATCTTACCACGTAGGGTGAGAAACAAGTGCAAGGTCAGTAGCGGTGAAGTTCATGACACAGATAAGACTTCATCAGCAAGTCTTGGATCTCCCAAGTTAAAAACAAACCTGGTTTGAAAATGCCAAAATACATTTGCTGTTTGTAGCTGGCCAATCAGGAAACCGGATTACAAGAATCCAGAAGTACCTTTGCTCTATATGACAGTTTTAAAGAAGTTCTCCTTGTTCAAGATAAAGTAAGATACATAAAACAGTAGATGAGATCTTTGAATAGACCAATTACAGATTGAAAGTAACACCTTGGACTAAATATAAGACATGACCTTAATCAGATTTAATATATGTTCAAAGTCAAAACTAAGAAAAAAAATGTTTTAATTTTGCAGATATGAAATATACACCATAGGAGAGTAAGGTATATAGTACTTGATTACTATAGCTTGATACACAGTAACTGTGTCAAGATCAAACTTATTCTTGAGTTTACTTTATTAACTTTAGAATTTCATACACATCTGCTGTTTCTCATGGTTAAAAAATAAAAGCAACAACACTGTTACATTTTCCAACAGGAAAGAAAGGTGATAAAGGAGAACGAGGTTTGGAAGGAGTTGGTATTGAAGGACCAATGGGTATTCAGGGTATACCAGGTAAGTTTTTTGTTTTTTTTCAATTTTAGCTAATATTATGTATTTACATTTGTTTGGTGCTTTAATATATGAAATGACTAAGTGTTATAAAACAACATTACTTCTTGTACTGTTACAACCTGCTAGTTAAAAGTTAATGTTTGTTAAATTTACATATACATTATAAGATCACTTGGTCATATAAGATCAAACATTCATATACTGTACAAGCTCTTAATTTAATATCACGCTAGTCAGATGGAAGTTGTAATGTACGCTGGTTTCGGAGTTAAGAGTACTCAACCTTGTTATCTTAAGCTTTATTATACTGAGGTATGTTATCTTATTATTTCAATGGTCTAAATAATTTCCTACTATGGTATTACTTTTCCTGTTTCATCAGAAGAAGTTACCTTCCAACATCTGGTCATAAATAGTGAATGATCAGTTATTGATTAAATACTGTAAACTGAAGCATCCTCATCTGTTGTAGATTTTAATATTTATTACACAAATGAAACTTGCAAATGAAGTTTGATCCTGTCAGATGTATTTCCACTGCTGTATGGTTCTTTCTTCCATAAATAGTTTTACCATTAGTTTACATTTCACTGTGCCCTTAGTTTATTTGTAGGTGTTGAAGTATTCTTTGTATTTTTCTGTTGACGTTGTTGGATTTATATAGATACACATAATAACAATAGCAATAACAAAAAGTTGAGCAATGCATTATCGTATTGAAGTAAACATTTTGTGTATTAACAGTATAATATAATTTTATAGGTCCAGTTGGACCTCAGGGATCCAGTCATCCTGGCCAGCCAGGTGAAAGAGGACCATCAGGAAGACAAGGTTTGCCTGGAGTCCAAGGTATTGTAGGTCCACCAGGACCTCCTGGCTATTGCAAGCTCTGCGTGTAATTACTGACTACTAGCTTCTAGAGATAGTGACATAAAACACACATTAAATTAGCCTACTGTTGTGTATCTCACAGACAAAATTGAAAGAGATTTTACTATAAAGAACCACAAAAGGTATAATAGTGATGTACAGAAAGAGAGAGAAACTGAGCAGGAAAGAAAAGTGCTTACTGTTATGATGGTAGTATGAAACTGTAGTTTCCAAAATATATTAATATTTTGAGAAACAAAACTTCGACATGTCTAGTTGATTATTACCATAAAAAAAAAGATATATCTAGAAATGATATGAGAAATAACGTGTTCAGAAAATATTCTGTATTTTTATCTATGTATGTTATACAGTATATGTGCTCAAGTGTAAACACTGCCAAAATTTATTTAAGATTTAAGCCAGCTCCAAGTCATTCAGAAAAAAAAAGCCTTGTATTGTGTATTCCTTAATGCAAGTTTTTTTATTGTTTAAACAGTACAGAAACATTTGCTATATTTACAAATAAACTGCATTTTGCTTGTTCAAAATATCTTTGGGTTTTATGTAAGTGTAAATTTTTATGTTAAATAATGTAAAAATTAAAAGCTTATGTTTGATTATTGCAAATACAGCTATAAGTCATAGCTGACCTTTTGCATAATTCTTATAAAGAATAAACTTTTCAATGATTGTCATGAAACTGAATCAATTGGAACCCCCTATCATTCTACATATTTTTTTAGATAGCGTTTATAATAATAGAATGCCACATCATTATTGCATGTTTCCTGAAAAATGACTACAAATTGTTCTTGTAAATAAAAATAATTTATAAAAGATGTTACAAAAGTGTAACATTGAACATTCCTGATTATGTGTGTGTGTATAACACCAAATCCAGTGAAGCACTTAATAATCTCTTAAGATAACAAGTGTGCTGAAGTAGCATAATAAGATTGATATTACCTTTAAACGGCTGAACACAGCATGCCATACTGTGGAGCTGAGGTTCAGTGTTTGGCATTCTGTTAAAGCCAAAACAAATCACCCTCTGCACTTTAGGACTATGAATATGCATTCTAAGAGTAATAGTCAAATCCAACTATTTGGTCCAACAAGAGTAGCCAAAGAGTTTGTGGTTATTGGTGCTGAATAGTTGCTTTTGCTGTAATCTATCACTTCAAAATTAGGAATGACTATTGCAGATATCCCTCATAGCTTTGCATGAATCAAGTCCAAACAAACAAACAAAGTATTGGAACAACACACACACACACACAAAAATCAAATCAAACCCCTCCTCGAATCTGTATTTGCATATTTATACCAATCTGCGAAGTAGCATGAGCTTACATGTCATCAGGTATAGAATCTCAGTTCTAAGTAAGATGTCTTAAGGTAAAAAGCTAACTGACCTTCAATGTAGGATTGTTATTGAGTGTCAGATGGGGGAGGAGGTATGCATGGTATGAGTATTCTCTTAATTGCCATTCACATTAGGCCTTCCCAAGTCAACTATGCTTATGTCCTTAAAAATGGAAAACAAAAGATCATGCCAATGTTGAAATTAGGACAGACAGGCCAAAATTATTGCCATATTTGACTGGAAGAGCCTAAAAATGTGTGGTAAAAGTAATTGCATGTCTGACATTGAATCCATCACCATAGAATTTGATGAACACGTACACTGTAATTGAGGCCATTACAACAACATGATTGGAACTGCATGACTAAGGTTTAAATAAAAGAGCTGCTGTTCATACCCCTTAGATTATAAACTACAGCAGAGCCTTGAATGCTGAGACATTTTGACCAATGCTGCACTATCATCTTTGATGGATAAAAGTTCTTGTATCTGCCATCCTGATAATGCACCTTGGTTTATTGCTGTGTGTGTGTTATATGTTTCAAGAACAACAACATTGAAAATCTGCAGTGGCCAACACTAAATCCAATCGAACCACTGTAGAATGTCTTGGAATGTTGTTTGAGGGCCAGAGTCAAAGACAATTATCTACCACTGAATTGGCACTTATTTTGAAGGAGGAGTGGTGCCAAAATGTGTTACAAAGTGTTACTGAAGGGTCTGTGCCATGATTTTTGCCAGAGGTGGATCAATATTCTATTAGAAATGGAATGATTGGGAATTAGTGACATTTCATATTTCCTTACTGTTTCAATACTTTTGGTGATGTTGTTTGTGTGTTACCGACAGTTATGTGAGCATAATGTATATGCTGGATTTAAATATCATTTCACAATCCAAGATATAAGAATGTACAGATGGAAGGCAATTTGAAAGCTTTTTATGAACTACATAAGATTGAATTAGTAATATTCTTTAAGAAATAGCAAAGCCTGTGAGTCTCTCAAAGGCATTAGATAAACAAGGTGCAATGTGGTTCTGTATGGAAAAGTGACTATTTTAAATTGCAGTGCCTCTATGGAGATTATGCTTTTTGAAATATATTTCAGTATCTTATATAAAGAAATAAACAGGGGATAAATTGGAAAAATATTTTTAATGTTATGCATGTGACAAAACCAAGCTGTTGTGACGTGCATTTAAAATAACAGGTTCGATTCTTTAGATTTAAAAATAAAACGTGTAGTGTTTGAAAATATTCTAAAATGCTAACTATATATTTAAAAAAGTGTAATTCAAGTATCATTAACTGAATTAACTCATTGGGCAAATTAAAACAAATGTTATAAAAATATCATTGTGGAAATCAAGCCCACTCAACTCACAGTTAACAATATCCAGGAGTGACAGGTAGCTTAGTCATGACATTGTTTATAAAGTGTATAATTCTTTTTAACATAAATTAGAAAACAGTACGTGGATATAGCACAAAAAGATATACAATAAGAGAGACACTGTAATGTTTTCCATTATAGCAGACTTTTTGTGAACACTTGGTAAACGGCCACGTCCGAAACCCCTACAGTCAATTTATATACATCCTTATATTTGGAACATTAGCAGCACCCACTACCACAACGGATTTCTTCAGCTCTTTGAGCCAAATAATGGGATTGAATGACAGTTTTATTATGCACCCACACCTAAAAACATGAGTCATTTTCAACAGTAATACGTCTTGGGCTATGGACCTATTAATTATGGCCCAATGAGCTAACAACCACTATGTCCGTTCTCAACCAAATTTTGTTAGACTTGTTAACGATATTGTATAATCAACAAGTGAAAATGGAATGTAGTCATTAATATTTAAAAAAAAAATTGTGAACGTAAAAGACAAGGTTGTGTCAGGTATAAAGACTAACATTATATGTTGTGTCAGTATGTAGATCTTGCTTTAAAAATATTTTTTGCAGAATGTTGACCTTACCGAGATATATAGGACAGACAAGGGGGGGGGGAATGGATCATACACAGGATATTTGTAACATTGTGTGCAAGGTAAAATCACAAGTCTTCGCCAGAGAAGAATTATAAAAAATCTATATAGACATTAAACCTGGTATAGAGCTCAAGATTTCGGAGCTGATGAGTCAGAGTTGAATCCATGCAAAATCATAAAATATTTCTCCACTAAGCATTGGGTGCATTATAAGACTGACAGTCAATTCGTTAGCGTGGATGGTGGGCATAATGGTGCTGTTGACTCTCTGGATGTCCTCTTTTTAGTAGTTCAATATTAAGGATGGCTGTAGGTAGTTTTCCCATCAGAACAAAGTATAAGTACTGAAAGCCATAAATAAGTCTTAAATCGTATGAGAACTTCGAGTATTTATGTAGCTTTCAGTTAGATAATATGCGACAAAATTAACTTCAGACATCCATTAATTGATTCTCTCAAAATTTTGTATGATACACCTATTGTTACAAAATACCTTTCAAATAATTTAACTTGTTGAGTGGATCAAAAACTCACTTGTTATAACATGTATACGAAAGTCTTATCACATTATTTAAAATGGGTTTGATTCAATTAATTTGTGTTTAAAAGAAATCTATAATTTCGGGATTCGAACTCTCGTAATTGGCAAAAGAACAAATAAATGAAGCACAAAGGGTTCGGGAAGAAGATACAAAGTATTTTATGATACCTTATTTAAAAAAAAAAATCGATCTGATCAGGACATTTTATAATGTACGTTAAACTGTGAATTAAGCTTGCTGAAATCTAATATTCCTTGAGTAAAATATTTTTTGGATAGCTGACTCCCATCTTCTTTAACTTACAAGCAAACAATGTTACATGAGATAAAACGTGTACAGAAAAAAAACACATTTTATTATATTAAAAATTAAATATAGTTATGTTTTGTTTTTAATGGCCTTTCAAGGATATAATTTATAAAAGCTTCTAATTTTGTTGCTAGTATCTTATTAGTAGATTACGATGCTAAGTAAAGATCTATACACAAATATAGGGATAATTTGAAGTAATAAATTGAACTTTAAACTAAGCTTTGTTTACCAATGTATGGAAGACGAGTATACGGTAAGTTTGGGTGCCGTTGATAGTCTAGGTACATTAGTGAGTTTCTTAGTTAGAAAAGTATTAGTATTTTTAGTAATAGATGTGTGTAGCCGTTACCATGTAATGTATCTTGTATAAGCGAAATTTCATAGTGTAAATTAAAGTACATAGAACACAAGTCATAAGCTCTGTTTAATAAACACGTTACCAGGTGCTCTTGTATTCCATACATTGGTAAACAAAGCTTAACTTTAAAAAGCAAATTAAACATGTTATTCAAATTTTCACTGTACTCTGATGATGATGAATTTGGATATTAATTCAGTCTCTCAACTTTAGTAACCACAACCAAACTACTTTTATCTCCCCCCCCCCCCGCTGGGTCAGCGGTAATTATAACGCTAAAATCGGGGGTTTGAGTCCGTGTGGTGGACAGCATGCAGATAGACCACTGTGTAGCTTTGCGTTAAAAAACAACCATGATAATCACCTATCTCAGTAAATTTGTTTGTTTGCTTGTAGTTAAGCACAAAACTAAACAATTTGTGGCGTAATTGGTCCGCAAATTTACCGCTGTGCCACTGGAGGACATTTCAGTAAATTCAAAATTCTACAAATAAAGCTGCATTAGAAAATTTTATATGGCTCAACACTTTAGTATGAGATCTAAGAAAAGAAATATTAAAGATCGCCTATGTAGTTTCGTATTTTACACATCACTGTTGGTTTTTGTTTTAAGCATCCAATCTGGTAATGGTTGTGATTGATAAACAACAATATTCATCAATATCGCAAGACTTTCTTCGTCAGATAGTATACCGCTTTTGGCAGGTCCACAAGTGAAATCTTGTGATGACATAGTCAAAAACTGAACATATGGTAATATTGGTAACAAAGCTTCTCTCTGGTTGGCTGGTGTGGGTTCTTTTCCGTCAGTTTTACATCTTTCTTTGGACCATTCACAAAGAGCTTTCCATATATCAATGTCTTTTATATTAGAGTAAATATCTCGGTAGCTCATATTGTGGAAAGAGCCTGCACGTCTGTCTCTACGTTCTCCCTGCCTGAGGTAAAGTTTAGTTCCAAGTAATTTCTTAATGACATTGGTTGATGCAGTTCTGAAACTAATACTTCGAATATACTCATGAATGTTGTATAAAATGGTCTCAAAGGCTTTGTTAAAAAGGTTTTCGTCTTTAATGTCTTCAGCAAATTCGCAGACAACCGAGGCACTGGCAATAGAAAATCTTTCTGAAATAAGCTTTAGGCATGACGCTTTGAGTCCGTCAATCAAGTATTTGTCGGCTGCGTAATATATTTCTCTAGCAAAATGTATTGTTACTTTCGGGAGGTTCCGTCCGTACATATACCTTGAAAAACAACAACGATAATAATGTTATGAAAGTTATATACAGGATTACATTAAGCATAATACAATAACAATTATGTCAAATAATAATAACTAGACAACATACAAAATGTTTAAATATTATACTTGCAAAATACGCGAATTTGATATCTGATAACAAAATCGATATTTTGTATAACGAAATGTGACCTTAAAACATCGTATAAAATATAAGCTGTTTAATTTGAAAATATAAATTATATAAATATTTATATATTTAAATCTATATACACGTTAGACAAATTACACATTCTATAAAAATTCAATAAATACAATTCAATATTTTCAATAAAAAAAGATAATTTAGGATTGTTTGGAATAAAACTTTTCATTCAGAGGCATATTGATCACATATTATTTTTTAGCTTTCATATACAATATACTCGTTTTGTAGCATTTAATTTAAAAACAAAACTTCTATAAACACAATTACATTTGATTTGTTTTAATGACCATTTTAATAAAAATTTAGATCAATTTCAGCTTTTTAAGTTATTACTCCCTTAAAATTTTCACTCCCCCCCTCCTCTCCCTCCCCCCCCCCCCCCGAGTAGAAAACCTAGCTACGCTACTGTTTTCATTTACCATCACAAATACTTACATTAGTAAGTATTCAAACACATCTGGAGATACATCCACGATTTCTACACTGTCCTTTTCTTTGAGCTGGCCAAAAAACATAGCCTTAAAGACATCACTGGACATGGCAAGTATCAGTCGATGTGCTTTGAAAACTTTCTTACAGTTTCCTTGTCCAACACAAAACTGTACGTCACTTAATTCGTGGCAATCTTGAAGAATGTTTAACTTTTGTAGAATCCAACCCTAAAATACAAGTAATCTGGATCTAAGTTAACAGGAACCACTAGTAACACAATATTGTAGTCACGCAAGAATTGATTATAATATGATTAACATAAGTAAAACTTCTGTTTAAAACGTTTTGTTTTAATAAACTTTCATAAAATCATCACATTTCTTTCCATCATTTCACCGAAAGATAATTTTTCTTTGCGCTGAAAAATGTCGCGATTGGTTTCATCTTGCTTGCGTTGAGTTAACAGAGGAAAATATGTCGATTGTTTTCATATATTCAAAATTTGAATATGATTTTTTTTACAAATAAAACTGCTAAAACGCTTACACCTACGTACACCTGCCAATTATCCATTCCCGAAGCTAGTTCCTGGTAAAAGACGGATATATTTTGTGTATATATATAGGCGGATAAATCCGTTCCAGAATTCGGATCTACTTTTTCCTAAAAGACGGATATATTTTGTGCAAAAGGTGGATAAACCTATTCCTGAATCCAGTAGAATTGTCTAAAGGCATTATTCCGTAATGGGGATTACTGTATTGTTGCGGTCAAGTTTTGATAAGCGTGAGAATATCTGCAGTAAAAATCATACTGAAACTAGTACAGCACTAGAAATAGAATCAAAACTCACAGATATGTCTACTTATCCATTTATTCGCCTTTTACCATTTCTAACTAACACGTGGATATATCCACTTATCTGTCTTGTACCTTTTTCGCCCTTATGTAGACTTTAAATACTTCAATGGTTATCCATTCCACAGAAACTTGTTACAGCTTGACCCTATGTTTGCGAGGTAAATGGATAGTTGTACAACATAGTACAAGTTGGGTAAACTTGGGTTATCTTCATGTTGCATGTTGTTTGGCGTACACGTACTGTAAAGATTTAGGTATATCGTCCAAACAATAGGCTGACTTGTGTAACGAATTAGTTATTATATATTTATTTCAGTATCAACGTTTGTTTAATTTAAGTTTATGTTTTAAAACATGCGTAGCTTATAGTGTTAAACATGTATTGCAAAACTTCTGCCTATTCTCCAAAGTTGAAGAAGATTCTCGAGAGTAAGAATCAACAATATGTGCGTACGTAAATACTTGTGTTAGCGTCAGTATTGTTCCGTAAAACTGAAATTTCTAGAACGCCTCCATTCGCCTATAAATATAACCAACGCGATGCGCCAAAGAGAGTATCTATCATTAGTTTGCTATAGTCAGTGTGCTATAAACTTCAGAAGCTCTAACTGTGATTGTTATAACGCTTATCAATCTGAAAACTTCAGATATTTGACCAGGAGCATTTACAAAGTTCGAACATTACAACTCTTTTAACTTCAGTGGATTCACCTCGGACATTAATACTTTTACGAAAACATTACCTAACGTCATCGGTGGAAACTCAATTTCTAATAGGCGTATGATCAGCGAGAACTACAGGGCTAGCTAGCTCCCTACTAAGTGAATTGTACCTATATCAACTCGCTCATCGTGAACCCTCGAAAAGATATCAAGGAAGTTCCAAACTAGAAAGAAGACTTTATATTGCTTGTAAGTTTGTGAAACTTTTGTTTATAAATCATTGTTTGTAATAACTGTTATTGTAAATTGTATTGTTTTGTGTATATTAAAAAGAAAACGGTGTGTATCAATCTTGTTGGCAAATATCGTAAACTGACTATATATCGGCTTTAAAGTATAAGTTAACTACTAAATTTCAAGTATCATTTAACTCAATTGCAGGCCATTTGAAATTCTAATACGTAACACTTGAAATTGTGGCATTTTATATCTTTTATACTGTCTTTGTCTTGTGTGGATGTAACCTTACTCTACTCTTAAGCTCTTGCAGCCAGTCAAAATTCACAACAGGAAATTACTGATGAACAGTTTAGTTCAATATTTAAATAATTTTTGTGAAAAAAGATTTTGTTTTATTTGTTCACTTGCATATTTCTACTTCTATTACTATACGTGTTTACCTTAATACTCTGTATAACATTCCCGAAACCTGCGTTTTGCTGATACTGACAGTGCTAAATGAATCTGATTACAACAATTCCCTTACATGATATAAGTGAAATCAGAACCTCAGGACGCAGTTGTGTACCGCAGAAAATATAGAGAACAGTCTTCATCTCTGAAATAATTTTTCTCTGATATTTAATAGGAGGTTAATTTAAAGCAAGGAACTGAAAAATCCAGAAATATTTAATGTTAAAATAGAAAAGGCAAATGTGAGCCACAAAGACAATAACACTTGTCCTGAAAAGAGTTGAGACATGAAATTGAGCCAAAAATAAAAATGATTTTTCTTGTATGAAATGTACTTACATCTTGGTGGATAGAATGTTTTTCTCTTTCTTTTTTTCCGTTAAAGTCCACGATGTTGGTGGGTATAGAGAACCCAAATCCTCCAGAAGTTCTGCCAAACGATGTTGTCATTTCTGATACTATATTAGGTTACTCAATACAACAGAAATTTTGGGCACTCTGTCAGTTTTATAACACTTCTGTTTCTATATCTCGCTCCATATACCCTGGAAAAATAATAAACTAATTTCAGTCACTCAGTACATTTAGTCTATTAAACATGTGAAACGAAACCAAAACCGATACTGTATTGTTGCGTCAGTGAGGTCACGTGACTAGTATCATGCCACGTCCTTCTCGAACATTTTACAGAAGATCAAAGAAAAAGAAACTGAAATTAGAAGAACAAGACAGCAAATTAATGGAAGACTAAAAAGGTAAAAAATGAATTACCAAAATCTTGTTTTTAAAAATGTGAAAAATGCCAAAAAGGAAAACATATGAAGTAAATTCAACACAGACAAATAAAGCAAAACTACACGTTTTTCAATAAACGTTTCATCATAAAACTCGTAATCTTCTCTAAAAGTTATAACAACTGATTTTCTTAATGTGTTTATAGTTTCATTAAAACGCAAGTTTGTCTTATATAAATATGATCATAGTAACTTGCAAGAAAGGGAGTATAGATTACGTTTTAACAACTCTGTTATCATTCATTATTTAACATATTAAACAGAGAAAAATCAATTAAAACACGAACTGTTTATACGAAAGGACCATTGAAAATTTAAGCATTTTATATATATATAGAGTATAGAATATTTTCATCCAACTTACCAAGAAGAAAATTACGTACAAGACTGTTCTAATTTCATAACATCTCTAAACATGGAAGTCGGATTATAAAACCGGAGTTTAAAGGTTCAGTAAAAAAAAATATATATATATATAAGTGATCACGTAGTCACTGGCGGGTTACTAAGAGACAATGTTTGATAAGATAACATATCATACAAAGTTAGGTGAGTTAGTGCTTGTGTATTTCTACCACTATATACCTTGGTTTCAACCTAAATAAGAGCTTTATCACATTGAAACGTTTCAAGTATTTGTTTCAACTAACTAAAGCTCTGACCTTGTTATTTTGAACTTTAGAAATGGATTTTAATGAAATTATTACGAGAAAATCAAATTATGAACTTAATGGGAATATTATTCATTTATTATTCAGAGCTTGCAGAGAGGGTTACTTCATGCGGGAAAAGCATCTCAATTTTGATATTATAAATAGCCTTTTCAGCTCACATAGATTGTTTAATTACAAAGGTAGAAATCATAAATACATTTCACAGGTGTTTCGCTTAACTGAAGAAGAAGCAAAATTATACGAGAAATAAATTAAAATAATCAAAGCATAATGAATAATATACGACAATTGACGAACTCAGACGCTGAAGAGAGAAACCTATTGCTTAAATATGCTCGCCCTTTCAGCCGTGGGGGCGTTATAATGTTACGGTCAATC